TACGGGTCCGACAGGGGCCGGCTGCCGCTGCTCAGGGCCAGGTTCTCCTCGTTGTTGAGGTTGGCCCAGTTCTGCTCGCTGGAGAGCTTGTTGTAGGCTTGGTAGGGCGGCGTGTGGCTCTCGGCCATGGGGAGGAAGGAGTAGTGCTTGGGCGGGTAGGGGCTGGGGACCACATCGCTGGCAAAGGCGTCGCGGGCCGGGCTGGTCGGCACCGACCCCTTCTTGATGTTGCCCAAGAGGTTCTTGCAGCAGAGGTGGAAGAGCTCTAAGAGGTTGAGGATTAAGGAGATGAGACCCATGACCAGCATGAAGATGATGAAGATGCTCTTCTCAGTGGGGCGGGAGATGAAGCAGTCCACCTGGTGGGGACAGGGGTCCCTCTTGCACACGTAGCGGGGCACCATGGAAAAACCATAGAGGTACCACTGGCCAATGAGGAATCCAGCCTCAAAGATGCTCTTGCAGACCACACTAATGATGTACGTCCACATCAGGGCCCCTCGGATCTTGAGCCGACCATCCTCCGTCACGTAGATCTTGGACATCTTCTTCTCCACCACTGCCAGGGCCTGCTCTATCTTGGGGTCCTTGCTGTGGATGGCGCGGAGCTCGTTTTCCTGCTGCTTCAGCTTCTCCTCCTTCCGGGACAGATAGACAACGTGGCCGAGGTAGATGAGGGTGGGAGTGCTGACAAAGAGAAACTGGAGCACCCAGTAGCGAATGTGGGAGATGGGGAAGGCTTTGTCATAGCAGACGTTGGTGCAGCCCGGCTGCTTGGTGTTGCACACAAAATCCGACTGCTCGTCCCCCCACACGGACTCCCCGGCCAAGCCCAGGATGAGGATGCGGAAGATGAAGAGCACGGTCAGCCAGATCTTCCCGATGACGGTCGAGTGCTCCTGGACTTGGTCCAGCAGCTTCTCCAGGAACCCCCAGTCACCCATCTTCTAGAGAGCTCTGCGTCCCTGGCTGCAGGAGGGAGAGGAGAGAATCAGACCCAGCACCCGGAGCAGCACCTGGCACTCGTGGCCACCCTGGGAGGGCAGTGGGGGGCCATCTGGGCACCCGGGGGCTGGTCAGAGCAGCCCCTGGGAGCAGGGGCCGCCAGGACCCACTTCTCCTCCAGCTTTTCACATCTCCACCCAAGTGCAGAGAGCAACAGGGTGAAGGGCAGAGGAAGCCCAAAAAGCAGCAGCCCTCAGGGCAGGGCAGCCTCTGGGCACCTCCGGACAGCGAGGATGGTCCCGCAGTCCCGTCCCGCAGCGCAGTCCGGGCCACCAGCCCCACTCACCGTGGGGGAAGGAACGCGGCTCCCGCGGCCTCGCGTCAGCCCTGGCAGCCAGCAAGGCTTCCCCGCATGTCCCCCGAGCCAGCTGGGAGAGAGGAAGCAGCCTTAGCCCTGACCCCTAATTAACTGCTGCCAATTAATGAGCAGAGGTGCCAGCTGGTTTGTTAAAGGGGCAGCTGGCACGGAAAGTCAGGACAAGCAGCACAGGGTGGCTGACCCTGTGTCCTGAAGAAGAAGGGGGGGTGCCTGCCCCAGCACGCGCCCTGCACCGGTGCAGGTGGCACCGGGAGCACCCAGGAACCCCCTGTGCCACCATCCAGCATCGCGGCCGGGCACCCAGGGTGCCGGGGCCGGGCGCCCGGCGCCGCTCACTCACCTCTGCAGCACGGGCGGGCGCTGCGGAGCGAGCGCCCGGCGCCGGGCACGTCCAGCCTGCGTCTGGCGCGGCGCAGGGTGTGAGCAGGCGCG